GGCTACAAAGTGAGTTCAAGGCCAGTCTGAATTGCATAGCTAAGCCTTATTTCCTCTTTTAAAAAAAATAAATAAAAACCTGTTATTTATCTGTGTATTTCGTACAGGGCCTCACTATGCAGCTTGGACTCCTAGTGATTCTCCTATTTAAGCCTCCCCAGCATTGGGATTACAGGCATGTGCCACTATGCCCACTCTCAGTAGCCAGTTCAGTGGGGGGGGGGCCGGCATGGCATGTAGTACCTGGGATTGAACCCAGGTCCTTGTGCTTGCCAGGCAGGAGCCTAGACCACTGAGCTGTCTCCCCAGCATGCAAACCCTATTTCAAAGACACACACACACACACACACACACACACACACACACGTATATTTTCCAGTGAGCTACGAAAAGGTTAAACAGTGACAGTTTTCTGGGATTGAACTCCCAACTGTGTCCTACAGTGTCACCTAGGTTGCTCATTTTCACAGATGTTGTAAGAAGCTTGTTGTGGCTACCATGGAACTGGAGAAAGAAAAAACTAAGACAGATTAAGTAACCAAAGATGTTAGTATACTTACACTATTCATCCATTTGAATAAACATTTCTTGGATTGTTGCAAGCTTTGGTTCATTTCTAGAATTTTGAAAAAGTTGATTTGGCCAATGTTATTGCATTTATGGAGGAACAGATTTTTGGTCTTACTCAACATTTTTGAAGCCTAGAACTTAAATGTATTTTTTATTTTATTTTATTTTATTTTATTTGCGGTACTGGGGATTGAATTTAGGACCCTGCACTTCCAGGCAAGCACTTATTCTACTGAGCTATCTTCCCGAGCCCTAAGGTATTTTAAACTATGTTCAATTTTCACTTTACTCCAGTGCTACTGGAAAATTAAATTCCTTCAGAGATGCAACCCTATTGTCTGGATTCAAATTTTGTTTTATAGAGAACAGAAAAGAAACCATGAAAACAATAGAATTTCACAAAAAGATAATAGGAAATTAACAATGGTTGTTACATTGCATATTGTTATTTTTAAAGTAGGTGTTCAGGTTACCAGATATAGGGATGCAAAATTGATCAAACAATTAGGCATTAAGTGTTCCTTTCAATAAACCAATAAAAATTAGTAGTACAATTATCTATCATATATATATAAATATATATATATATTTTTTTCCCTTCCTTCTTTCTATTTTTTCTCCTTTCTCCCATCCAAGTTGTTCTTTCCTTTTGAGCAGTTTCTTTCCATTTCACAAGATATAGTACCTTTGTGATTTTACTTTTCCAGATTCTTACATTAGGAAGATAATACAATGCTTACACATGCGAGTCTGATTTATTTCACTTATGAGTATTGTCTTTAGTTGCATCCATTTATCTATAAAAGCCTTGAATGTATCTTTTTTATAGTTGAATAGTACTCAACTGTATAAAACTACCCCATCTTTTAATCAGTTCCTGAGTTGATGGATATTTCGGCTGTTTCCAAGACTTACTTATGAAAAATTGCACTGCTATAAATATGGGTGCACATATATCGCTGTGGTATGATGTTTTCAATTCTGAAAAAATACCCAGGAGGGAATGTAGCTGGGTGGAATGGGACCTCTAATCCTAGGAATCTTCACACTGATTTTCACCATCTGAATTCAATTTTACTAATATTTGTTCTCCTTCTGTTTCCTTACTTTTGCACAGCAAGTCCCCAATTTACTAATGAGAACAGAGAATGCTTGTAAGTCAGATTTATTCATAAGTCCAAGAAAGTGTTATACACCTTTGACATAACTATACAATGTGTGTTACTGTGGGCTTTCTAACAGTCCCTTCCACATCACCAATGCTTTTCCTTTTGCTTCTGGAAATTCTGGGCTCTGAATGAGCACTGTACTACTGTACACTATTGCAGTATATAGTAAGCACACAGCAACATGAGTTACTTCTGTAATTTGTTTGCATCTACAAATGTTTATAGGGTGGGGTTTGTTTGTATCTGTGAAAGTCAGCAATTCAAATGCTTTTAAGTCAGGGACTTACTGTACTTCCTACTCATTCATAAATTGTGCAATTAATTTTTGTTTGTTGGTTCAGAACAAGGATAGCAAATCCAGCTGTGTCCTGGGTATTTTTGTAGAGATAGTCTCCTGATATAAAATTGGTTTTGGTATCTTTAAAGAGTTATAAAAGAAACAAAACCCAAACAAATAAAGAAGAATATGTGACAAAGACCATATATGGCCACCAAATGAGCCTAAAGTACTTAACATTTTACAGATTATTTATCTAAAGTTTATATTTTATTGATTAAAATACCAGATGTTAAGGACTTTTTCAATGTCATGGTACTAATTAGCCAGTTTTAAGTCCTTAGATTTCTGAATATATTTTAGTCATCTTTCCTTTCTAAGTTGCCTAAAAGTTTTTTTTCAGTCCTAGTCCTGTCTCAGCAAAAATCATTCCAAATGTTAGATAAGTAAATCCTACTTTCTACTTTTCCTTAGTTTCACTTATTTCTTTAACGAAGGTAGAAGCTGTGTTCTTCAATATTATTGGACAGTTTATAAATGTTCTTTTTTGCTCATTATACTAAAGAAAGACATCCATTAAATATCTGTATAGGTGATTCCATTTTTTTTCTCTTTGATATCTTGATGATAACATGTATAAACAGTGGTTTTAAAATGGTGCTTCATTTGGGGATGCTCCGTATAAAAATGAGTGACTCTCCAACTCTTCCACCTTTGATTCAATCAGAAAAACTACACTTTTTTTCATGAAGTGGGCTTCCAAGCAATGTTTCACTTGACTAGAAGACTTGCAGATGGGGGAGAGAGACAGACAGACAGACAGAGACAGAGAGAGACAGAGACAGAGACAGAGACAGAGATTGAAAATCAACTTTTATGTTGACCATTGGCGAGTTCTACAAGGAACCATAAAGATTTCCAAATAAATCTCAGGGAATGGTGAGAAGAGCAGGTACCACATCATTCCATCTCCTGGAGACAGAGATAAGGCTTAATACTGTAACTGAGCTTGGATTTCCAGTTCCTTGTGAGAAATTAAAACATTACAAAATAGGCTGGAAGTGAATAGTTACAATGCATATTTTTTAAAATTTAGTACAGGGTCTACAGATCTACAGGGTCTCACTACATAGATCAGACTCTCAGTGATTCTCCTGTTTTCAGCCTCCCAAGTGCTGGGATTACAAGTGTGTGCCATCATGCCCAGTCTCAAACCCAGTCTCAGCACATCCCGGTGGTGGGGCTGGCATGGCATGCCAGGGATTGAACCCCATCCGCTGTGCTCTGCCTAATCAGGTGCTTTAGTCCACTGAGCTATATGGATGGCTCTTTGCAATACATATCCTCAATTTACCATTTGCTGAGAATTTGTCAGTTCTTTGCGAGCCTGAAAAGAATCTACATATGTATTCACAATTGATTGACAAAGGAATAAATGTCAATCAGTGGATGAAAGAAAGACTTTACTAAATGAGACTTATACAATTTGATATCATAGGTAAAAAAGAAGCAAATAAAAACCTTTACTAAAATATCATATACAATAGTTAACTAAAAAGTGGATTCTACTTAAATTTAAAACATTTAGAAAAGAATCATAGAAAATTTCCATAACGTTGGCTAGGCAAAGAGTTGTAAGATTTATCCACAAAAGTACAAGCTTCATGCCAAAAAGAACCCTTCAGATAAATTGAACCTCATGAAAATAAAAATCTTTTGCATCACCAAAGACCATACAAAAGGTATGAAAAGGCAAGCTGTAGAGTGTGAGAGCAAATATATATATATATATATATATATATATATATATATATATATATATATATATATATATATATATATATTATTTCCTTGGTAATGGTAAGGAAAAATACAATGAGGAAATAAACAAAAGACATAAGGAAGTTTTTCACAGAGGAAGAAGTATGGATGCAATTCTGGAATGTGAAAAGATGTTTTAACATCATTAGTCACCTGAGACATACAAATGAAAACCACTGAAAATTCACCACACATACCATGGTTAAAGAGTAGTGAAACATCAAAGAGTGGTTAAGGATGCAGTACTGAATCACTAAAATTTTCCTAATAATAATGAATATGGTACAGCTATTCTGGGAAACAATATGAGAGTCCTAACAAAACTAGACATGTATGTGAAACACCCTATTTTCATCCTCTACCATCAAAATGCAAAAACTTAATTATGGGATGCAATTATCACATGACTCAGCAATTGTACCTTTGGTCATTTATCCTGAAAGAAATGAACATTTAAATTCATACAAAAACTTGTGTATGGATATTAACAGCAGCTTGATTTGTAATAGCCCAGAATGGGAAGCATTCCACACGTGCTTCACTGGGTGAATGGTTATACACGGTATGTTATACTCACAGCATGGAATAACATTCAGCAGAACAAAAGAGCAAACTTTACATGTGCAACATGGTTGAATCTTGAGAGAAATATGATGAATGAAAAAGCCCAATCACCAAAGGACACACTGTGAGATTCAATTTCTAGAACATTCTTGAAATGTTACATTATAGAGATAGGAAACGTATTATTTTTATTTTTTGCCATGGGTTAGGCATGGGTGTGAGATGGTTGTAATTACACGAGGTTGTCATTATAAGCAAAGGAGCCCTGTGGTGAGAATGCAGCTTTATATCTTGATGGTAATGGTGGGCACACAAATATGCATGTGACAATATTGTGCAGAACTCTACACTTTATACACATACATGCACACACACAAATGAATACATGGAAAATTACATGATGTTAGTTTTGGGAGAAACTGAGTGAAGGCAATACAAGCACCTGCATGTTTTCCTGTACATGTTTCAATTTCCTGTGGATTTATTGCTATTTCAAAATTTAAAAAATAGAAAAATACCAATAAAAAACTGAAACAGCTTTTCCAGAGCTAAAAGAGTTGAGAAAAAGAAAGTTAACTTTGTTTCTTCTCTTCTTATAGGATCTGTACCTGCCTCTGTCCTTGGATGACTCGGACTCACTTGGTGATTCCATGTGAAGGGGGAGAGAAAATATTCAGTCCAGAGTACAAAGCCAAGCCTACTGCGACAGTAGGGTACTTTTGCTCAAGTGTCCAACAGGGCTATTGGTGCTTTCAAAATATTATTTTTTGTTGTTATTATTTTTCAAAACACACTGTAGTATGTTGGGTTTATTTTCCTGTGATTTCTCCTCTGGGCCACTATCCACAGTTACCAATTATGAGAGATAGATTGATAACCATCCATTGTGGTATCTTTCCAGGGATGCAAAATGTGCTAATCCATGACCTTTCTACTGAATGACTATATACCTTCATTGTCTTACTTTTCTTCTAAACAGCAGCCTTCTTTCTGTAGAGGGTTGTTTACCTGAATAGCACTTAAAATGTTTGTATGAGAGAAAAGTCATTGGCAGATCTAAGAGTGACAAACACAAGTGCCCCTTGTCTTTGGAACTTAAGCATGCTGGAGGCTTTCAGGAGCATGGCATGGTAGCTCCCCAACCTTGCCACTCACTTCTGATGGAGCCCCAGTTTGTTGGTGAGCACCAACTCTGGCTGTCAAAGGGGAGAAACACCAGCAACATAATTATGACACCAGATACTTAGGACTACGGTGCAGGATTAGTTAAAAGAGGTAAGGCAGAACTGGAAATGCAGATATTTCAGTAGAGTTTGTAAAGCACAGTGAATTCCTGGTCAACCTCTCCACTAAGGCAATTTTGGAATCAATAAGCAATTGATGAGTCTGGAATAAAGGATGTCATATACTTGATTCCTCTAGGAGGCTGTCTAACATAGCAAGTTATGTACTACATGAACATTGCGGTATCTATCTATCTCTGTTCTATTGAATGCCTTGTAAACAGCCAATACTGAAAACACTGTGAAAATTTGTTTTCAGGTCTGACACCTTTCAGTCGCTTTTTATAGCAAGAAACCAGTACCCTTTTTATATAAACTCATGTCTGTATTTCAGGAGCAAACTCTTCAGGCTTCTTTTTTATAAACTGGTGATTTTTCCTTTGTCTAAAAAACACATGCAGAAAATTTACCAAAAAAATACAGAAGAATAACGTAGTTTAGAAATCATGCTGTCACTGCCAAACAGAAACCTTCAGGAGAAAACAAAGTAAATAGCAGAGAGGCCAATTCAATAGAATCAGTCTTTTGATAGCTTTTTAACAGTTATGCCTACATTAACAATTTCAATGTGGACCAGACTTTTTATTATATTTTAAATGAAATGTTATGACATATTTTAAGCAACTTTTTAATCTATAATCCTAATATTTCATACTGAAGATTCCGAATCCTTTCACTTGTCTTTAACATTGGAAAGGATTTCTCTTTATTAAGGACTGATCATTTGAAATAAGTTCTCAGTCTTTGAGGTACAGGTTCATACCACTACTTTTTGTCTGTAATCATAGCCCATAATGGTAAAGACAACTAAATTTAGGTAAAAGTCATGCATGCCAATTCTGTGTTTGCTTTTAGCAGATATAGATTTCCTTTATTTCTTTGTAATTGTTCAGATATTTTGAAAGATGCAACATTTGAAGAAAAGATCTTGTTTGCCTACTGAATGACTTACACTTGTCCCTCCACTCTACATGGAATAAGCTTGCTGTGTGTGCGTGTGTGTGTGTGTGTGTGTGTGTGTGTGTGTGTGTAGCTACTTCACAATTAGGAAATACAAGACAACCCAACATGGATCAGTGGTAACTTGGTGGCATTGCTGATCTGCAAGTAAGATCGCAAGGTGGAAGGAATAGCTAGATGCCCTCAACATATCTCAGTTGTCCTTAGTTACTGGAAACATTTCTGGTTCAGAAGTGAGATGATGCTAATACTGGTTTCTGGTTAAACTGGTCATTGGAGAACCCTCAGTTGTCAAGATGTCCTTTTGTCTTCTTTATTTGTAGGCACATTTGAAACTATTAATTTTATTTACTCAGCACTTATTTTTTTTTTCTAGAAGCTCAGGGTTTTTGTAGTCCCTGCAAGAATAATTTATAGTTAATTCAGAAAACAATGCTACTTGTGATTAAAGGGTAAAAGGTCTATTCTTAAGCTTGAGGTTAGACCCTTACACACAAACCCATGTGGTCTTTCTCAAGATCTCATTGAACTCCATACACTTCGTTGAACCTGAGAAAGTGGAGATGGAGGCAAGATAATGACCTGCTGGGATGGTACATCCAGAAGAAAAATCCAGGCTTTGTTAGGCCCATGTTCCACATTAGCTCTCTGAGTGTCTGTATCACTAGAAAATATACATGCCTGTGACATATATATCACAAGGAAATATTAAGTGGATATGATTTCTTTAGAATAATCTTTGATCCAATACCCTTCTATACCAGTAGTACAGCTTCCATCTTTCTTTTAATCAGTTATGAGGAAATGTTTCTGTGCTGCCACTTCAGGTGGGCTCAGTATAATTAAAAATTCAAGTTGAAAATAATAATATTTTCAATTGGTCAATTTGTAGGGCAAACTTTTGTGTATAATTAAGTCCCTTCAGCGCCATTATTCATCACCACTTTCACCCAATCCAACTTTACCACACTTTTCTTATTTTGCTGACTTTTGCACGGTCATAAAACAACAAATCAGTAAGCATTTGCCACCACTCCCATAACTTCTCCCTTAACTTTACATACAACACACACACACACACACACACACACACACCACCACCACCACCACCATCACCATCACCACCACCACCACCACCACCACCACCACCATCTGTTGCTTGTTCCTACCTCTTGAGTTTTCTTCCCTGCAGAACTAGAAATTGGGACAAGGAAAGGGAAATGTATATAGATGAGGGCTGGGCTGAACAAGTTACTTCTTAAGTAGTGTTAACTAGAAGTAAATTGAAGGAAAAGCTCCTTTTCTCTTCATTGTTTTGGAAAGGATAGCCATTAGCATGACTGCTTTGTGTGCTTACGGACTTTAGTGTTAGCCTAGACTGAAGCATATAGTTTTCTAGCTGGAAGGAACCTTAAAAATGAAACATCAACTTCAAATTCCTCATTTGCAGGCCAGGAAATGGAGATGCAGAGGTAAAATAATTTTTCAAGGTCACAGAGTTGATCAAGGGCAGGGCTGGGATTAGAACTCACATCTTTTTCCTGTTATTCCAAGGCCTTTTCCCACTAACCAGTATTGCCTTCCACTGGGCTCCCAAGAATTCTTTCCCAGGATCATGTTGCATGTTAGAGCCATATGCTGCTGCCCTGAACTCAGTGGGAAATCCATCCAACAACCTAATATGATCCTTTCTCCCTACATTCATATGATTCTCATTTAAAATGGGCTGAAGGTATCAGAGAGGGAAGAAATGAGAATCAATAAGAACAATGATCCATACATCTCTGAGATGGGATCACTGCCCCAACCTTGAGGTTCCCCCTCAACAGAGTTCCTGATCTATCAGAATGTTACTGAAGACTGGTCATCCCTCTCAGTGCACCTCATGTCATGTCATGCTTGTTGGTCTTCCCAGGCTATGTGAAAGTTTGTTTCCAAAGGAAGGAAGGCAGAAAGGAAGAGGAGAATAATAATTTGCCTAATCTTGACTTTCTGCAATGCCTTTTCAACATTCTTGAAAAATCTAGGGTGACTACCATTACTACTGGCAATGATTTCTTTTTAAAATATGTAAGATCAGCTAGGTAAAATATTTAGTCTTTCTGTGGTTGCCTTCATTTACAGTGTCCCCATAGCCATCTTGTCCTAATAGAGACAATTTCCAGGTATAATCAAAGGTTTGTGTCTAAAATATACCCTGGCTGATCTTAAACATTGTATCCTTGTGTTTGCACTAAAATAGCAAGCAGTGTGCTCTTCACGCCATACCCATTTTCTTGTGTACACTTTTCCTGTGGCCTTCCATGGCAGAAACCAAGGCAAAAAGGTCTTAGCATGGAGTTTTCTATGCAATAAATCTCTTCTCTGGATCTAAGGGGTAACATTAATTGATTTCTAAGAGACCTCCTACTAGGCTTTCCCCACTCCCTAGGTATTTCTTCACATTTCTGCTTCTTCTCCCCAGTCACAAGTAACTAGAAAACTTTAAAGTGGATGTCAAATTATCTCACAGATTCTTCTTAGTATCACCTTGTTCAAGTTTTAGACCAGCAATTCAGTTCTTGGCTTGGTCAGTACTGTGTTTCCATTAATAATGTCTATAATATGCTGTGTAGTGATGTCCCCAATCTCCCTCTCAAATTTGATTCTAAATGGAATTGCTTTGAACGCGCACACACACACACACACACACACACACACATCCCTTTCTGAGACAGGTGAATAAGCATACCCATCTCCCCAATGAGCTCCAGTGCAGTGATAGGTATGTTTCAAAGAATCATCTCACCTCAGAAACATCTTTGTCAAGAGACTTCCTTAGATGAAATCACTGGGATGATGTACTTCGGGTGACCTCTCTCTCCTTTTTTTTTCCAAGGAAAGGAAGGAAGGAAGGAGAGAAATAATAAAGAGTGACTATAGTCTGTTCTAGGTCATGATACATGACCAAGATCCATAATCACTCATTTTTGCCCTCTCTGAATTAAGAGATTTGGATTTTAGGCTCAGACTGATTTCCTAAGTAAATCATTTGTTGCTTGAAGCTCATCTGGGGCAAAGAAGGGGCTGACATCCTATGAATTGGGACATGGACCCCAAGAGGCAAAGACTAGGTAGTTGTCCAGCCACTGATGGGATGTTAGGAATGATCTGGACTCTCTTTTGTGGCAATACAATCTTGGAAATGGAGACTGTCCTGGGTGAGCAGTATGGAGTTTAGAAATTGTCACATCTCTAACTGGCCTTTGAAGGTAGCCCCATCTACATCTGTGTGGCCCCAGTGTAAGTTTTCTTCTTTGTAGGCATGACCATCTGGAGGAAGAACAGTTCATTGATTCTATATGCCTGCTTTTTGGCTGGAGATGTATGAGGCTTTTGGTGGTCCACACCAAGTAGATTGATCTTTGTCTGCCCTTAAAGGCTGTAGCTATGTACTAAGACAATATAAGACATTTCTTAAAAATTGATATACAACCTAATTCTTCCTCTGGCTAGCACACCATACTTTACTGGTATGTAAAAAGCTAGAGAATCTTGTTACACTAGTTAAGACATAAATGTGGGGAGGAAAATTCATTTTTTATGTATTTGGTTGTTACAGGGTCTCACTATGCAGCTCAGAATCATGGTGATCCTCCTGCTTTCAGCCTCCCCAGCTCTGGGATTACAGGTGTGCACCACCACACCTGGACTCTCACTGGCTCAGCTCACTCTGGGGGCAGGGCTGGTGTGGCATGTGGTGCTGGGGATTGAACCACAGTACCTGGGCTTGCCTAAGCTTGTCCAAGCAGGTGTGTTATTCTGCTGAGCTATCTCGCCGGCCTGGAAAATGCATTTCTAAAGCAACAGAGCACTGATTCCAGTGAGAATCCTACCACAGGCTGGGGGTGTCAGCAGCTTTTAGCCCCTTCCACATTTTCTCATTAGAGACTAGCAAACATTTTCTCCATAAGCCTGTCTTTCAGTATGCCTGACTGACACATGTATCCCCTCTGATCCTTCAGAAAAAGGTGCCTTCCCACTCTGTCTCCTCTGCTCTGTGCCCCAGACCTTGCTTTCTTCCCCAGAAGTCAAATATGATCTTTACACCTAGCCTTTTATTGATACTTCCTTCTTGTTTTCTTTGTTTAAACTCTATGCAGACCTTACATTTTGGCCAAGCTAAGTGTGACATTTGGTTCACTTTTGACAAGACTAATCTTTTATACTTCAGTTTATTGAGTTTAACTTTTTCTGTAATGAAAGGCAATTTTTTCTTACATTTTATGCCTGGGGCTAGAACTCCTTTTGGAATTACAACATCTTGCTTATCCTGATTAGAAGTGCAGGTTCGTTGGGAGAGGTCAGACAGCACAACAGAAGTGAGAAAAACAACAACAACAACAACAACAACACCTTGTACACTAAGGCAAACTTGAAGGCATAGGAATGTATTATTTCTGGAAAATAAACTGAGGG